TGATATGGGTAAGATTAGGGACAGGATGATTGATATGTGTAGATTTAAGGATGGTTTAAGATGTAAGTAATGGCTTAACAGTGTATTTATTAATGTAATTAAACAAATTCATTACAGATATAAATACATGCAGATGAATTAAAATACAAGTGCATTTTACATACAATATAAAATCATGTATATGCATTAAGTGCATTGTACCAAATGAATAATTAAAGCATTAGTACATAGTAATTAAGGCCACTTAATATAAAGCAGGGTTAATTACTAGTTGCCTGAATGATTCAATTAAATAATTAAATTACAGTTCTGAACATTTAATGAATATCATCTGACACCAACTTGCAGCTTTTGGCATAGGATCAATAAATATTTCAATGTAAAGCTATACCTTATGGTTCATCCAAAATGCATTTCCATGCTCTTTAAAACGTAACCTTGCATTAGATCAAGCTTTTTTTTATCAGGATGCAGAGCTGCGGATTGCTCTGTAAGTAATGAGATCAGAGCTTTCACCATGTCTCAATAGCTTCACAGTTCTAAAGAGATTCTGTGGTGGGCTTCTGTACAGAATAATCTTTATCCAGCACTATTCTCGGGATCTCTACCCAGTAACATTAGACAAATGTACACAGGCACCTTGGCTTCAGGCATGCAGATCTCATCACACAAACACTCAGCGTTGAGTTCACAGAGATGCTTTCTTTAGACCTTCACGTCTTTTTGACACCGCAGCACTAGCTGCATGTGTCAGTCTGTCTGCATGCGATGCTTTGGTCTGCATGATTGTGAAGATGATATTCTCTAATTTAAAGATGATATAGTACACCAATTTTCTTAAGATGTTAAACATGTCCACTTATAGTAAAGTAGTGAAGTTTGCACTACACGCTCGTGTTTTTTAATTTTTTTAGTACGTTAATTAGTTAATATTACTCAGAAGGTCAAGATTCGCAATCATTATATAATTACTCTCCATAGCTTTATTTTACATTCTTAAAGATACAAAACACAGATGTTTCCGCACAATGCCTTCCACAGTGCGTAACACAATCCTCTCACTCCACCTTTTTAAACCCACAGTCAATCACATTACGGTATTAGTTAGACAACCACTCAATTAGTTAAAAACAATCTCATTTTTGTTTCAATAAACTGTAATTGATCACACAATAAATATTTTCCTTAATATTTAAAAGCATTGTCTCTATTCCACAGGAAAATAACATATCAATTATCATCATTCACTTATTCATGTCTACGTCAATGCAATTAAATTCCAACAGTCTTACTTTTGGTATGCCTTTTTTGTAAACATGTTCCGCAGTTTATTAATTCCCCTGGTGATGTAGGAGGGTAAATCTAATCATAATATTCCCGCCTCTTAATCTGCATATTTCCACCCACAATGCTGCTGTGCCATTTCAATGTCTGTGCCATAAAAGAAACTATACAAATGTTCTGATTGGATGTGATAAGGGAGATAAGATGAGAGAGTTGCACTTGTCTTCTTATGTTAATTTGCTAAGGCTAGTACATACAGTAGAAACAGAGCAGTGACATGTTAGTACATACTGTACAGGTACTGTAAGGATATTCTTAGATACTCTTATTTCTGACATTTTGGCTGCATGAAATTAGCTTGTTTTTTTGTTTCTGGAGTGTCAGAATATCATGTGGCTCTGTCCTCTTTTGGGAATCAGTTGCTCATTTGTTTTTAAAGGGGCAAAGCATCCAAATAGTGGCAAATTTGACAATATATAGTTAAAAACAATCCTATTTTCATTTTCATTTTCCTTTTTTTACTGTAATTAATCACACAAGAAATATTTTTTCATCACCTGTAAAAGCATTATCTCAAAAGCACAGGAAAATAACATTTCAATTATCATCATTCAGTTATTCATGTCTACGCCTATATGAAATTCCGACAGTCCAAAACATTAAAAATACATTTTCATCTCATTATTTGTATCATTATATCCCAATAAATGATTCACAATATTATAAATAAACAACAAACCATTAAAGAAACACAGAAAGATCAAATTTCTAATTTATTTCTCTTGGTGTAGATGATTTTAATAATCTTTTATTCAGGATACCTGCTCTTTGTGTCTCTAATACTTCCTCAATTCCTAGGCATTAGTTGTTTACGTCATGTCAGAAATCTATAAAGTGTCTCGGTATTGCCGAAGTTATATCTTGTCGTTATATTCTTGATTTATGTTCACTAATTTGCAACTTTAACTGATGTGAGGACTTTCGTATATATCTTTTAGAACAGATATTATAACATATAGACCACATTACAAGTAGAGCAGGTAATGCAGGTTTTAATTTAAATAGTTTTACCTGTTACCAGATTCAAAAATCCCTTAGACTTGACTAAATTCTAACTTGCGGCACAATATCTGCACGGAAATTAACCTTGTATTAAAGTGGATTTCTTATTTCTTACTGTATCTGAGTTAATCGTATCTGCTAAATTTTGAGATCTTTAAGATTTGGCATTTATAAGTTAAAATTACTTACACCAAGAGGAATGAATCTTCCATGTTTCTTTAATGGTTTGTTGTTTTTTGATAATATTGGGAATCATAGATTTTGAGTATGTAATGATACAGATAATAAGATGACAATGCATTTTTAATGTATTGGACTGTCAGAATTTCATTGCATTGATGTAGACATGAATAAGTGAATGATGATAATTGAAATGTTATTTTCCTGTGATAATGCATTTAGAGGTGAAGGAAATTTTTTTGTGTGTGGTTAATTACAGTGTACTGAAACTAAAATGAGATTATTTTTAATAGTACCCCACAGATCTTGTCAAATTTGCCCCTATTTGGGTGTTTTGTCCCTTTAAATAAACGAGCAACTGATTTCCAGAAGAGGACAGAGCCACATGATATTCTGACACTCCAGAAATAATAAAACAAGTGAATTTCATGCAGCCAAAATGTCAGAACAATAGCTTAGAACATGCTTGTACAGTACAGTAACTCTTTTATCTTCCTTATCACATCCAATCTTTTCTGGCACAGACATTGGAATGGCACAGCATTGTGGGTGGAAATATGCAGATTAAGAGGTGGTAATATGATTAAATTTCCCATCCTACATCACTAGGGGAGCAAATAAACATGTTTACAAAAAAAGGCTTACCAAAATGTTGCCAAAATTCCTGGTTTGGCAGATGCATAGGGTCCTGATTAGCACTTAAACGTGGGAAAAATCAGTTTTTACTATATGACCCCTTTAATGTAGTTTTATAGACAGCACACACTTAGTTCATAAACTTTGAGAGTGAGCCATAAAGCCTGCATTAAATATGAATGATGAGGTATTAATGTTTAGTAACTTCAGAAAGAGGTTCATTTGCCTCTAGAGCTGCTTCTGATAGACTTCTTAATTCTGAGAAGCATTGGAAGATTTATTTTTAATGTGTGCTTCTTCAAAATGATATTGCTATTAAACTCAATATAAAAGTGAAATCAAATTGATTTATTGATAAATTGAGACCAATGCATTACTGTAAGTTGAGGTCAGTGGTGAGTCTACTTTACCTGGTGTGCTCTTTCCCCAGTTATTCACAGTATTGAAATGAATGTGCACAGATAAAGAGATAAAGAGAGAGACGGATACAAATTTATCCTGGCTTTCACTTTACCACCATTACATCATCCGATACACACAAAATCACACATTATATCCTGTTCAAAAAAGATTAAAGACCTCAATTCTCTCTGTTCTGTAACAATTTAACATTCTGTCCCTGGGCCACAGTCAACTCATCAGAATTGACTATAGAAACATCACAGGACATGTAACCTGATTTTTATAGTGAGCTCCAATTTCTACAATATGTAATACTTTAAGATAATGTAACAGTGAATATTTCTGTAAATACAGTTAAATATGATATTCACAATACTTAAAAAGATTTAAAAATTTACATTTAAATATTTAAAAATATGATACAATAAGAGTCTTTTCTAACTGAAAAAAAACAACAACTTTAATCTCAAAATTGAATAATATGATTGTGGACAACGTGCTAAAATTCCTACTTTGTAAAATAGCATAATCCTTTTAACGGGTAATAAATCCAAAGCGTTACAATTGACCATCATCCGATAAGAACATAAGAACACAGGTTGGCCATTACCTCCACCGGCCACTGGACCACACTAATGAGCTGGTAATGACAAGGCTCTTAATTGTTATGTTAATCAATTAAGCCAAAGGATCTTGGCGCAGGATTTTGGGACACAAGCGCTCTTTGTTGTTAAGGAGGGTCACGCTAGATTGAGTTACGGGTAATCAGTTTCACTCTCTGCACAAACTCAATCCACACGCCAAATGCATCGGAATTAGGACAAAACTGACACAATTCTAGCACTTCTGATTACGCTTGTTGGGTCAACTATTACAACACATCACAATCACCCAGCAAAACATATTAAAAGGAAGCTGGAGCGTAATGCAGCACCATCTCGATGCGCAGCAGTGCTACTGTAAATGTTATGCTGCAAACTAAGAAGCATCAAAGAATAAAAGGAGAGAAAGTGTCAGCATGACAGATGTAGCTACATTCTGAGGTCATCAAACATAAACACAGCAGCTTTTGCTTTACAAACAGTCTTCCGGTTAAAGCTTGCTATTTAATTCTCCAATCTCTATAACTTGTTTCTGTAATGTGCTTCTAAAATCTAAAATGCTCTCCATCACTAACATCTCTCTTTGAAATCTGACTCTTAAATGTTGTCCCTTTGGAATGCTTTGACTCAGATTCCAGAGACGGAGGAATTTAGATTTCTGAGTCAATAATGCTGTTTTTTCTAGTCTACTTTTGTTTCTCAATTTTGCCTTTGAAATCTGCGTCTAAAATGCTGTTTCTTGCGTGTGTTTAAAAATCAGGCTCAAACTCTGCTTATTCCATCTGCGCTACTGTGATTCAGACAGTGTGTGACCGTGAAACATGCGTTTCTTACCCTGAGCAATAAACACGCATATGGAGTCATCCACCGCAGTTACACGCTAACACACCGCATGTAAGTCCATCAAAGTCAGAGAAGAGAGAGGGATGAGGTCTGAATCCAGACTGAAAGCGCACACCTGCTTCGCACAGTTCTTGTCCGCTCAGCCGACTCCAGATAAACGCGTGAACGCGCATGGACTATGCCAGTGCGCGGCACCTCCCTTTCCTCTTGGGTCAGTGGCTCTCGTACGGAGCTAGAGAGCTATTGAAAAAGCATTGCGGTAAAACTGTCTCTTTACACATGACGAAACGCTTCTCCGTGTCAGCTCCGGGAGGAGGAGGAGATGAAAACACGTTCGTTTTGCATACTCAATCCGACGCGACGATTGCGCGCGAGAAAGCGAGGATGAGCACGTCGAGAACGCGAAGGGCAAGTGTTTAATAGAGACTTCATCCAGACATCATCCAATCGTCGCTTGTTTCTCAGGGAAGAGGAGTACTTTATAGCACAGCCTATAGAGTGTGCGCGCTCATGTGTGAGATGGAGAGCAGCGCCGCGTATTGGTCCCTCGCAGGTTTTCAGTAGCCATGGCAACCAGTCAGAATACTTCAGTAATCAGTGCGCGGGCTCAGGGGAGATGCTCAGGTCACCTCTCTGGCATTCAAGGGCAAACATACCGCACTGAAAACTTCAAAATATCTTCAAGTTTGATGAAGTAAGTACAAAGCAAAAATGAAAGGCATCTCAGAATATTGGCTGCCCTTTCTTGCCATTTGACTTGAATGTGGATTTCATATTAAGAAATAATTACAACCAGTTTTTTCTTATGGGAATCCTATTTGCTTCTTAAAGGCAGTGCTAAATGAATCAAAAACAAAAACAAACAAACAAACAAACATTAATTTCCCTTCGGCTTAGTCCTTTATTTATCAGGGGTTGCCAATGCATATGTTATACACAGCGGATGTCCTTCCGGCCGCAACCCAGTACTGGGAAATACCCACATACCCTCACATTCACACACACCCATACACTAAGGCCAGTTTTATTTACCCAATTTAAATAGCATGACTTTGTAATGGAGCACCCGGAGAAAAACATGCAAACTCCACAAAACAAACAAACAAACAAACAAATAAATAAATAAATAAATAAAAATGTAAACAATAAAAAGGTTGGAGCATTCATATTGTACTACCTGTTCTATATACAAAGTTTTGCGCATATATACATCTGTTCACTTTTTGTAATACTTGAGTACATTATTTGACTGTGGAAAAAAAAAAGATTTTAGAATTAAAGAATGTGCAGGATATGGATGGCTTTTCTGAAGAATTAACAGGACAAAGACTCTCAACTATCACAAAAACAAAAATCGTTAATCACCCAGGTAACGAAATGCAATTAAAAAGCTAAAGTATGTACATTTTGAATGATAAATTCTATGTTTCTCTTTTGTGGCATGTATAGAAACTGCTGTTTTGTGCTAAAAACAACACTATTATTAAATAAATAAATTAATGGATATTAAAATGGATGATTGAATAGACAATTGGATATGAGAATCCCTTGAATCCAATAGTGCAGGCGAGAGTAATTTAAAGCGACTGATATGGTTAATTGCCAGTTGCCATTTACAATCAAATTAATACTTTTAGATTTCTGTTTAATATTAGCATATTAAAGCAAAATTGTGTTAGAGGATGGAGGATGGAAAAAAGACAGTCATCCAGAATGCTGCTATCAAGATACTGACCAGAACCAGAAAATCAAAGCACATCACACTTGTCCCTAGGTCTTTACATTGGCTCCCAGTAACATTTAAAATAAATTTTTAAATATTATAACTTGTCTATAAATCACTAAATGGCCTAGGACCTCAATACATTACAGATATGCTCACTGAAAGATCACTCAGATCTTTAGGATCAAATAAAATTGAAATTCCAAGACTTTATTCAAAGCAGGGTAAATACTTCTTCAGCTATTCTGCCCCCCGCTGCTGAAATCAGCTTCCAGAAATGATCAGATGTGCTCCAACATTAGGCAGATTCAAATCAAGGCTGAAAACATCTGTTTAGCTGTGCCTTTACTGAAAGAGCACTGTGCTACGTCCGACAGTCTTTATTTTATTTTGTATTTATTTTTTTTAAACACATTTTAATCTGTTTTTTTTATTAATTTTTTTTATCATTATCATTATCATTTTATCATTTTTTCTTTTTAATTCCTTGTTTCTTTTATTCCGGATTATGTAAAGCACTTTGAATTACCATTGTGTATGAAATATGCTATATAAATAAACTTGTCTTGCCTTGCCTTGGAATGAAACAACCTGCATGCAACCTAATAAAGGAAACTACTGTTCAGAATTTTATTTTAGACAGAAACCTTACATCACAAACATGATGGTATGCTTAAATATTTGCATCTAAAAGTAAATAATAAAAGTATATAAATAAAAGCATTCATTGTGAGGTTACCACATAACAGGTTGTTTATGTACACAACATCTAGCAAAACAGCACAATGTCAGAAAATTACAGGTTTTACTATCCTTGTGTGCTCAAAATTGTGGCAAAAACTGACCCACACACATACACACACACACGCACAATAATATATTATTCAGAGGCAGCATGGTGGGTTTCCCTACAGATTGACCTACATATTAAAACACCAAGTCATACGGCACAGCTGCCCAAACCTACCAATCCAAGCAAACCTCTGAAAAGCATAAACCGAATAAACTTAATAAAGCATTTAATATTTTACTACACTAACTAAAAACACTTGTAATCTATTTATTACCCCTTAGAACCCTGGTGCATTATGAGGACTGATAGCAATGGTAATACATAACTCAGAGCAGCTGTAAACTGGAATTCTGATAGCTTATCTTATCATGTATGCAAGATAATGTATTTAAGTCTAATTGAATGGTTTCATCTTTGCCAGTGTAGGGTGTAATGATAATAAAAAAAAGAATTTTACTCAATGCATCTTTTATTGTAATCTTATATGCCACTGTTGGCTTAGAGTTGTACCTGTTTAACTAAATTAACATAATTAATGCACAATGGCTCTGTGGTTAGCACTGTCGTCTCACAGCAAAAAGGTTGACTCAATGGATTGAGTCCCGGCTGGGTCAGTTGGCGTTTCTGTGTGGAGTTTGCATGTTCTCCCTGTGTTGGCATGGGTTTCCTTCGTGTGCTCTGGTTTCCCCCACAAGTTCAAAAACATGTGGTGCAGGTGAATTGGGTAGGCTAAATCCACTGTGGTGACGCCAGATTAATAAAGGCACTAAGCCAAAAAGAAAATTAATGTATGAATGTGTGTGTGTGTGTGTGTGTGTAAATTTTTTGTTTTCCAGTATTGGGTTGCTAGTAGGGCATCTGCTGTATAAAACATATGCTGGAATAGTTGCCAATTCACTCCACTGTGGCTACCCCTGATAAATAAGTGGCTGAAGAAAATGTAATGAATGAATGCTTGCATGTTGGATTCTGAAAGGCTAATACATAATTAATTTGCATTATTTATAAGTTGTCATAAGTTGTCGTCAGAAATTATAATATAATAAAATTAGAACTGCATTATAATATAATACAAAAGCGGGAATTTTGTTATATAAATTACAACTGCACATGGAAAATCAGTTTTATTATGGCAACATGCCATTCTCATGAAAATTTAAAATGTTTTTTTTTTTTTTTTCACAGAAGAGGTCTAGCCATGGTCTGGTGAAATTCTGAAAGACAGTACATGCATGATAGTGTTCCTTTTAATGACAACATCATAATCTTACATGCATTTTGGAGTAAACTGCATACGAATTTTCCCTAACCTTTACTTTAAATATAAAATTCTTCCCAATTCTAATGTATGCAATAGACAGTAATAAGAACACAGCTCTTTCACAAATGCCCCACTGTACTGCTATGCTGGTGTAGAAGCTGAGTTTCAATTACCCCACATCAGTAACACTCTTGACCACAGCGGATCAAACATGTCCAAATATAATCTCTTCACTCACCACTGACCTTTGCAATAGAATATGATTGTGTGCATGTATGTGTGTGGGAGGTAGTGACAGTGAGTACTGAATGTGGTTAGTCTCAGCAGCCAGCCAGGTCTCTTGGTTATCTCAACTGGAAAATTCGCCGTGACATTAAGGGGATGTTTTTGAGGGTCTCGTCATAAGCACGTGGCCAAGACAAGACTGCTAAAATATATTTGAATCAAGGCTATATGTAAATCCATACATACCCAAATATATATATATATATATATATATATATATATATATATATATTTTTAATGCATGGGTTTCTTTTGTTTTATTTATTTCTTTATTTTTTGTCATTTTAAGTTCCCTGTCCGATCTAAAACAAATGTATCTAAAATTGCAGCAACAGCATACAATTCTCCAGATGTTTTAGTAACAATTTCTAAAAAATAAAACAGAAATGTATTATATTATATTATATTATATTATATTATATTATATTATATTATATTATATTATATTATATTATATTATATTTTTTATTTTATTTTCAGTCCCTTTATTAATCCGGGGTCGCCACAGCGGAATGAATCACCAACTTATCCAGCATGTTTGACGCAGCAGATGCCCTTTCCAGCTGCAACCCATCTCTGGGAAACATCAATACACACTCATACACTATTGCCAATTTAGCCTACCCAATTCACGTGAAACGCATGACTTTGGACTGTGTGGGAAACCGGAGCACCCAGAGGAAACTTACGCGAACGCGGGGAGAACATGCAAACTCCACACAGAAACGCCAACTGACCCAGCCAAGGCTTGAACCAGGGACCTTCTTGCTGTGAGGCGACAGCACTACCTACTGCGCCACAGCATCACCCTATATTATATTCTAAAAATAATATTACATTATTATACCACAATAATAAATTAAATAAAATTAAGATATAACTTTCATAATCTAGTTTTGGTCAGTCTTTGAATCGTCAGTGTTAGATAGTCTTTGATCTGGGGGCTGCAGATTGCTAACGGACTACATATCCGCCATTTATGGACTACAAGACCCAGTCATGCACCACACGGACGCACACAAACACGCACACACGGTTCCTGATCATGACTGATTGCATACACGCAGCTAGAGGATTGTCATAGACTGTTTACATGCTATAAAGAGCACAAACACACAAATTGTTGCTAAGTTTGTAAACTGTATAGTGAACATTACTTTGCGTTTTTCTTGCCTTGCCTTCCGTGTTTTTGAACCTTGCTTTGTTTTGTTTATGTTGCCTGCTGCCTGCCTGTACTGACCATCTTTTTGTTTATTGACCACAACTCTGGATTGCCCATATACATCTGTTTGCTTATGTGTTGACTGTTGCTTGCCTGACCATTCTCTGCATAATAAACCTGCATTTGGATCTGCACTACCCTTTGTCCAGCATCACTTCACTATTAAAGTCAGTAACTAAATAGTCAAATTAGCCATTGAATGAAACTGTCAATTTCGAAGCCTGGCCATGGTTGCAGAATTTGATTTGTCTTTAATGAGTTTTAATAAAGTCTTTATGTAGTTCAAAATATGAACATTTATGAATTTGCTAAAAGCTAAGAGCTACACTGCCTGTTTAAAACAAATTAACAAACTCTAATATTTTATTGGACTGCATTTGGCTTTTTTATCATGACATG